GGCCGTTGAAGCGAGCGAGGCCCAAGGTAGGGGGCAAGGCCCAAGATGGAGAGCGTGGCCCATTATGTGCAGTATGTGGTTATGCATGGTATGTGGTAGGGTGGGGAACTCACTAAGCTTTGTGCTTACGGTTTTCAGTTTTGGTTTCAGGTACTTCCGGTAGTGGAGGGAAGAGCTCGGGGTGATCGCATGGCACACACCATAGATTAGATAGCCTGGGAATGTTTACTCTGATAATAAACATGTTTTTTGAAAACTTATACTCATATTATGTTTTGGAAATGATGATTTTACTTTGAGTAGTGAATTATTAAAAGAAATTTTTGGTCTTAAATTTTAGGTCGTTTCAATACTTAATATTCTAATTTGAATTTTTATGTTTAATTTCATTGCAGAAATCAGTTGCAATATGGAAGATGCACATGGAGGGAATTAGTAGTTGCTGTTTTTGATGTTGGGATGTTGTTGTTTTTGCTGCCTACTATTGCTATTTGCTATTTTATTGTTGCTGTTTGGTGTTGTTTTGCTGTTTTTTGCTTGATGTTTTGCTATTTTTTGCTTGTTGTTGGTGCTGTTTTGCTGTTGCTGTTTGGCTATTTTGTTGTGGTTCTTTTGTTGTTTTTGTGCTGTTTTGAAACTTGATAAAAAATGTTTGCTGTTTTGTTGTTGCTGTTTTGACTTTTGTTATTGCTAAAAATTGTCATTAAATTGTCATTTTGTTATATTACTTGATAAATTCCAATTGTGTTGGCATGGTGTTTTGAGATCATGTTTTTATGATTATTTTAGTTTTATATATTACAGTCCTAGTCTCTTATTGTTTATAAAAGTTTATTTCAATGAAATGTATACAATAAAAGATGTAAATTATCAAGAAATTGGGTACCCAGAGCCGGAACCGGTTCTAGAGGTTCCGGGAGCGGTTTCAATTTTCTAGGAACCTATGTAGGTGGTTCTGGTTCGAATACCCAAAAACTAAGAACCACCGGTTTCAGTTCCGGCTAAAATAGGCGGGTACCCGGTTATGCTTATCCCTATTTTTAATATACTTTCTAATTAGTTAAAGTAACATTATTAGGACCTTAAAATAGTTATTTTGGCTATTATTATGAGTTATATAAGAGTGTTATTTAACGCTTATATAATAGTAATAATAGCTAGACTATTAATTAGTAGTGGTTAACGTTAGACTAAACCCTAGTGGTATTAATACTAGGTTTTGTGAAGGGAATATTGTTTTGAGATAACAAAGTGCTATCCGAGTACCGAATCACCGTCTTAACAAGTAAGTGTATAGTTACTTTCATCTTATACGTAGATATGAAGTATTCTATATAAATTACGTGCTATGTGTGCATATTATATGTATACTTGCTATCTATGTTGGATGAACGATGTTATACATGTTTTTAATGATTTAAACTCTATATGTATTTTATATCTACAAAATGTGTTGGGTAAAACATAGGTAGATGTAATAGTTGTTGTGTGATAAAATAATGAGAGGCCTCGATGTTATTGATGATCTAGTCATCTAGCGGAGTATAGATGATGACCATAGACTATTCTAGATAATCCAGTAGAACGCTAGCAGGCTCGTAACATGTAGGTGTTTATTTGAACTGTGTTCTCACTAGCAGTACTCCATCCCCCACATGCTTACCTTATTTGACATGAATTGCTGAGGAACCCCCGAAGCATGTGTTGTCACCCCGATGAAAATCCTTATACTAGTTCCCTTATGTTAGATATCTTAGGGATGTAAAGTGAGTATAACAGAAATGGGTAATCGGGTTTGTTTGGTTGATGAAAATAATAAACTTATTTACTGTGGGTTGAAAACCCTATGTGCTCACCAAGCTCCTAATCCTGACACGCTTAGTTTCTTGTATTACAGGTAGTGGCGCATGAGTGTAGATGTTTGGATGAGAGAGAAGGGATTATAGGCCTGTAAAATACGAAATAAGGTAGTAAGGATTATGTTGTATTGTTTATCCTTTTAATCTGTATCAAACATGACATCCTGAGTCTTTTAATGAAATACATTTCTACGGAAATGCTTTGATAAATCTTTATCATATATTGTTTTGGGAACAAATTCCGCAACTCTTTTATTTAAAATGTTACTCTGATTTTTAAACAAAGCAAAAAAAATCGGTCTTTCCTGGCCGTGAAAATGGGGATGTCACAGAGGATTTGTACAAGAAAACTTTTCGGACTCGCTATGGCCATTATGAGTTCGTGGTGATGCCATTTGGGCTCACCAATGCTCGTTCCACATTCATGGATCTCATAAACCACGCATGAAGACCGATGCTAGAACGGTCTATGATAGTCTTTATCGATGATATATTGGATCTCATAAACCACGCTTAGTTTCTTGTATTACACGTAGTGGCGCATGAGTGTAGATGTTTGGATGAGAGAGAAGGGATTATAGGCATGTAAAATACGAAATAAGGTAGTAAGGATTATGTTGTATTGTTTATGCTTTTGATCTGTATCAAACATGACATCCCGAGTCTTTTAATGAAATACATTTCTACGGAAATGCTTTGATAAATCTTTATCATATATTGTTTTGGGAACAAATTCTGCAACTCTTTTATTTAAAATGTTACTCTGATTTTTAAACAAAGCAAAAACAAATCGGTCATTCCTGGCTGTGAAAATGGGGATGTCACAGAGGATTTGTACAAGAAAACTTTTCGGACTCGCTATGGCCATTATGAGTTCGTGGTGATGCCATTTGGGCGCACCAATGCTCCTGCCACATTCATGGATCTCATAAACCACGCATGAAGACCGATGCTAGAACGGTCTGTGATAGTCTTTATCGATGATATCTTGGTTTATTCCAAGACACAGGAGCAGCACGAGGAGGACTTGAGTGAGGTGCTGGAGGCATTGAAGAGGGAGAGCCTTTTCGCAAATTTCTCCAAGTGTGAGTTCTGGTTGCGCGAGGTGCAGTTGCTGGGACACCTTGTCAACCAAAAGCGTATTCTGGTCGATCTGGCCAAGGTCGAGGCCATGATGCAGTGGGAAGTTCCAAGGTATCCATCTGAGATTTGGAGTTTTCTTGGTTTGGTGGGTTATTATTGGAGATTTATCTAGGATTTCTCGAAGATTATTGTTCCATTGAATCGACTAACCAAAAAGTCAGTGACATTTCGTTGGGGGACTGAGCAGCAGGTAGCTTTTGAGATTATTAGGCAACGATTGTGCTAGGCGTGGATTCTGACCCTGGCTGAGGGTGTTGATGATTTTGTGGTCTATTGTGATGCTTTGATCACAGGTTTAGGTGCATTTTTGATGCAATGGGGGCGTGTGATTGTTTACGCCTCGAGGCAGCTAGAGCCTTATGAGGCGAATTAGCCGATGCATGATTTGGAGATGGGGGCGGTGGGTTTTTTCCTTAAGATTTGACGGCATTACCTCTATGGGGTTCGTTGTACTATTTACACAGACCACAAGAGCCTGGGGTATTTGATGGACCAGCTGAATCTAAATATGAGACAATGTCGTTTGTTGATGTGGTTAAGGATTATGATTGTGAGATCCTTTACCATCCGGGGAAGGCCAATGTTGTGAATGATGCTCTCAGTCGCAAGGCGGTCGCAGCTCTGATCAGGGATAGATGTTTGAAGATGACAATGATTACTCCATTGCTGGATCGGATTCGGGAAGCTCGGGTCGAGGCTATGAAGGAGGAGCGCCAAAAGTGTGAGAGAATTGTGGCTCAGGTGGCTTCCTTTGATTATGATAGCCATGGATTGTTAACTGTACATCGGAGGGTCTGGGTTCCTTATTGGGGTGGTGTGCGCCAAGTTCTGATGGAGGAGGCTCACAAGTCGAGATTCTCCATTCATCTTGGGGCGACGAAGATGTATAGGGATCTTCTCCCTGATTATTGGTGGCCCTGCATGAAGCAAATATAGCATGGTTTGTGGAGTTGTGCTTGACTTGTAGGAAAGTCAAGGCGGAGCATCAGCAACCTCACGAAAAGATGCAGCCGTTGGAGATTCCCATGTGGAAATGGGAAGACATCATGATGGATTTTATCACAAAGCTCTGTAGGACAGCGCATAGTGGATTCTATTTGGGTCATCATGAATCGATTGACCAAGATCTCACATTTTATCCCAATCCAGGAGAGTATTTTTGCAGAGAAGCTAGCCGAGATTTATGTCTAGGAGGTGGTGGCACGTCATGGGGTGCTGGTATCAGTAGTTTCAGACCGAGATGTTCATTTTACTTCCAGATTTTTGAAGCGGTTTCATGACGAGATGGGTAGTCTTCTCCATTTCAGTACAACTTTCCACCTGTAGACCGATGGTCAGAGCGAGTGAATGATTCAGACTCTTGAGGACATGCTGCGTGCGTACGTATTAGATTTTGGTGAGAGTTGGGATATGCATCTTCTGTTAGAGGAATTATCGTATAACAATAGTCGCGTCTAAAGGAGTTGGTATGTAGTATGTACTAGTTGATTCATTAGATTAAACCTACGTTTCATATCATTATTTCTAATAATAGAAAGTCATAAATTTAGAAAGATTTAATGAGTCTAATTGCTTGAGGTGCAATTTGTTTAGATGGAAGCCCACCTGCTTACCAGCTTGATAGAGGGTTTGGAGATGGTGTCAATAATTGGTTAGTTCACATACAGGTCTGTCTTCCTTAATTTGTTAAGTACTCATGACTCTCTATTTTTATTTTAATAAGAAAATGTTCTTAACTTAGAAAGAACCTGTATGTATTGCTTTTCATGAAGCCCAAATACTCGGTGGTCAATCAAATCTCAATTTGCGCATTCACTATGATAAGAGAAGCATATTTTTATTTGCATAAAGTATACATGTGTTACGTCTATACAATGTAGTCATACAATCTAGCAATGGTTATACATCATGCAAAGCACCATAGCATATATACATGGGTTTAGGCGATAATATGTTTCATCTTATCGAGAACTTCTTGATTTCCCTAATTTGTTGCTGATGAAGTTGAATATCCCACCATCCATTGTTAATTTACCCAATCTTTCATGGTTGGATCTAAGTGATAAAAAGCTTAAGGGACCCAATCCCGTGTCTAATGAAACAGCCCCTGGTCTGGTCTTGACAGGTTAAAGAATGCTAATTTTTTCCGATCAAGGTAGTGATTCTCATTGGATTTACAAGGAGCGAGGTAATTATTGGACAAACTTTTTATGTTCTGTAGCTCTTATTCTCACCTAAAATTCTATCATAGGGGCCATAGTAAGGTCATGTTTGATGCAAAACATTTTCAATACCTCACTATTTTGATATTCAATCTTCCATTCAGGCAAATGATTCATTGTACTTTCACTAGAAAATGATTGTGTTGCCCTTGTGTCTTTTATCTTTTGATTAGCTAAGGAGTTTAATTTGTATATGATTACTTTGTTTTGTTTGTAAGGTGGTTTTGATGGTAACTCCATGAAGGTATCTGAGTTATTGTTCAACAATGGGTTCAAAATCTTCAGAGTATATATCCATTTTCCAAATCCAAAATCCTCATTGTAAAAGTCAACACAACTACTGGATAAGGGCTGCCATTTTCGTATTTACCCTGGGCGAAACAAGTTGCAGAGTAAAGTGCATATGCAGCACCCTTACGCATACAACACTTTATCCAGACAAATATTATCACCATTCAAGACTTAATTGGAAAAAAGAAAGAAACAACCCTTAGTCTACTTGCAGTTATGTTTTCTGTTCAAAAATTATGAGAAAAATGACTACTTTTTGAACAATGATTTATTCACTAGTGTTTGGCTGTTGATGGTTCTGAATGGGATAACCAACTTAAGAAGCAACATTAGAAATGTCCATCATCGATTCAGATACTAAATAGAAGACAATGTCTCAAATTGGGAATAGATTCAGTTAGTTCCACTTCCTCCAATCAATTGTCATTTGTCCTCTTTGTGAAAAAAAAAATCAAAAATGTATGTTTGATTAATGATGATGTTTCCTCACTTTCTTCTTACAGTCATTACTAGATGCGGATAAAGTTAATGCTTCACATGTATCACCATGTGACATTGTTGCTGTCATTCGTCCTACTACTTACAAGTCTGGGATTGCGCGTGAAGAATTAGATAAAAAATATGTGATGAAAGACAACTTTGAGATGTCATTATCAGTTACATTTTCTGAAAATGGAAATGAAACCAATATCTATTTAGGACGTGTAACACCTTCATCACGAAAGGACCTACATGGTTTGTATATATTTCAACCAAAATGCAATTCCCATCCTCTGTTTCAAAAAGATGGAATTTATACATTCACCTTTTCCATTGTGAATAACATTGAATTGCTTTAATGTATATATAACCACATGGCTTTACAATCATATGATTTTGTTAATGATTAGCATTTACATATTTCTATCATAAGAGAGATTCAAGATGTGAGATACATGTGGTGAAGGTCAAAATTGAAGCGTCGTGTAAGGTCCACAAATGGGCACATTCCAAGAAGCTTCCTGATTATAATGTTACGTAAGAAAAATATAATTTATGTGTGCATTTTTATAAAATCTAATACCTCATATATATGTGTTTCACAGGTATTTACCATTTCAACTGATGAGTTTTGACTTCAAGGGTGTTGATATTCTCATAGGTTCATACTTCTAACATTTATATTTATATTTGTTATGCAACATGAAAGTATTGGTTTTATCAAGTCAATTTCTTAATATATTAAAAGAATTTGTGGTGTGCTATAATAGATGACAAGGCTGCTGGACATTCTAGAAATGGTATTCTGTTCAAAGATAGTACAATCATAGATGAAGATATCGATAGAATCATTGCTAAGGGAGAAGAGGCAACTGCAGAACTTGATGCCAAGGGGTCGGATTAACCCAGCCCCAACCCCTGCCACCAATGAACATGAGCCCCTAAACCCAGACTCTGACCGTGGTTCACCTGTTATGAAGAAGCAATGAGTGAGCCTCAGCCAAGGGGTCGACTTAACTCACCAAGTACTCGACTCCAGCTTATGGCAACATCCGATTATGTATGGAATGTCGGTTAACAATCAAGATTAAAAATTAGGCTGAGCCAATTGAAATTGGAATTTGTCCCAGGGAGATTGTTTTCTACTTTGTGCAGTTTCTTTATAGAAATATATATATATATATAATATAATTTATGTTTCATTAGGTGGGATGGGTTTGGGTGTGGAAATACTCTTAAAACTTGTAATTCATGTTATGATGCCAAGATAGATTGGAAAACAAAGCACAGAACTCCATTAAATGTGTGAAGTAAGATTCTTATCTTAATTCATAAAACAATAGTCTTTTTATATCTTTTCTTTTCTTTCTTCTGAGCTCTCATTGGCCAAAATCTGTGAGATACTAATTCTTTTATTTATTTATTTGTAAATCCCATCTCACCTTTTAGTTTTTGTGTTTTTGTTGTTGTTGGTAGCTTCAAAAATAGTCTACACCAGAAGACATTGATAATTTGGATGATGTGGATGCAGTTATAAGCTACATGCCACAAGATTTCAGAGGAACATTAATCAGACAACAATAAGAAAGGTCTGAAATAAATAAGCAATCAGAAGTTGATGCTTTGGTAAATTTAGGTGGTACCATACGTGACAATGGATTGTATTTTTTGTATCTAAATTTGTTTGTAAATTTTTGTTACAACTTCTATTGATTTGTTTTATATTTCCATAGAACGATTATTTGTATGACATTAAGTTTATGCAACGGATTCTATTTTTTGTATATGATATTTTATTTTCTAATATGAAACATTAAATAAAATTTAATTTGAAAATAAGTAAATCTATAAATAATGTTTTTTTAAACATTTAAAATTATGATACGCAAAAACGTGTGTCATATTCATTTACGACATGGCCTTTCTTGACAGGGGCTTTCTTGATACGCATTGCGTGTCATTAACACGTGCGTCGTAAGGTTACGACACGCGAATGCGTGTCTTCTTCCTTTATGATAGGGCCTTCCTTGATACGCATTGCATGTCGTAAACGTGCGTTGTAATTGCGCGTCGTAAATGCGCGTCGTCTCTCTTTATGACAGGGCCTTCCTTGACGCGTATTTACGCGTCGTCTAAGCCTTTTATGACACGCAATGAGCATCGTAAAAGGTTGTTTTTCTAGTAGTGCTCATTTATCAAACGTAATATCTTGACCATGTTCGGGATCCCTGCCGATATCATATGCGATAACGGATCCCAGTTCATAAGCAAGAGGACTAGAAAATTTTGCAACATTTAGGGAATTAAAATGATAATGTGCACTCCTGTTCATCCTCAAGCTAATGGTTAAGTTGAATCCAACAACAAGATAATCATCAACAGTCTAAAGAAAATGTTAGATGAGAAGAAATGAATATAGGCAGAGGAACTTGATTTCATCCTATAGGAAGATAGGACCACTTCAAAAATAGCCACTGGCCAAACTCCATACTCCTTGGTGTTTGGAACAGAAGTCGTGATCCCTACTGAAGTAGTGCTCCCAACGGCAAGATACCAATTGTTGGATCAAGAGAAAAACGATAGTATCCTACCCCATGATCTTGACATTGTCGATGAACTTAGGGATCTTGCCAGGATCCATATTGCTACTCATCAACAAAGCACCACTAAAGCATATAACGGGAATATCAAAGTCAAAAGATTCCATGTAGGTGACTTGGTCCTTAGGAAGACATTCCAAAATACAAAGGATCCCAATGAAGGAAAATTGACACCTAAATAGGAAGGACCATATCCCATTGATTCAAAAATAGGAAAAGAGGTATATTTTCTAGCTACCCGTGAAAGGAGCATTTTTCCAAGATCCTAGAATGCCATTCATATGAAAGCATATTTGATGTAGGTTCTCTCTACCCTTTACTTATATCTGATTCATTTATTTACTCTTCTAAAAACAATTACTAACTTAGTCATTGGTGGGGCATTAGCCAAGCTAACGCCCACCCTAAGCTAACTTTTGCTATGTGCAGGAACTCAAGGACCCTGACACACAAGGATCTTGAAATTCGAGGATCCTAGCACTCAGGGATCCTGATAGAAACATCGTTCTATGATCTTAACGATTGTAATAGGCAAATATCATAGCATCTATGAATAGAGACTGATCATCTCTACTAAGATTAAGGGTAGTTAATCCCCTCTAATGTTTAAAGAGTTAATTACCTCTTTCATATGATTTAAGGTTTCTACACCTCGCTTGGACTCATGAAATCTTACTTTCGGATGTGAATAAGGGGATCATTTAACGATTTAGTGACTTGGCAAACCTCTTATTTTTAAACATATGTTGAGATCCTGATGGTTAAACCTATGGTTTATAACACTAAGGTGTTATCTTAAGTTGGGATTATCCCTAGTAATTTGCTAAGGTTTATAACATTGATGTGTTATCTTAAGTTGGGATTTTCCCCAATAATTTCCTAAGGTTTATAACACTAATGTGTTATCTTAAGTTATGATTTTCCCCAGTAATTTCCTAAGGTTTATAATGATAACGTATTGTCTTAAGTTGGATTTTCTTCACTGATTTGCTAAGATCCATAAACATTGTCATGTTTTCATAAGTTGGGATTTTCTCCAAGGAATGTCTAAGGCTTGTAGCATTATCATGTTACAAACACAGATCCTTCGTGGTCATTTTCTAATTTGGGTTTATTCCTAGATAATTCCTAAGGTGGGATCCTCCCCGGTTTGCTAAGTAAAAGCCCAACAAGGATCTTTTAAGATGAACTCCTAAAGCAAGGATCCTTTCATATGTAAACTTTCGGATCCTACTAAAGGAAACACACCTTTAAAATTCTCTTAACTCAAAAGGTTATAAACCCTAAAGAGCACCAGGTTCTATCCATCCTTCACAAATTATTTTTTTCCTACGTCATGTTTGAATGTTTAATGTTCAAAAAAATCTTCAGTATTTTAAGATCCCAAATTGATGACTAACTATTTTCATTTTGTTTAGAGTTCTTATAAAATGTGAGTTTTTTAGGATCTTGATTATCTAAGGCTCCTCAGAAATCCTATTACTACAACCACACAAGACAACCATGCAACCAGGAATATAAAACAACCATAGATTAAAAAAGGGTTATCGAACAACCCCACAAAAAGTGAAATATTGTCTTACATGCCCAAAATATTAAATTTGTTTTTAAATTTTAAGTTGCAGAATGATCACCACCACCCAGAGCCACCTTCGTCTTCTCTCGTCCTTCCTTTGGCTGCGATGGAGGATCCTGATTGGCAACAACAAGTTTGCCAATTAACTTGCCCAGGTCCTCATGCCATTCGGCTACATCCAAGATCCCACTTTCTCAAGATCCTCCACAAGCTTAATTTTTGCCTCCTAGACAACAACATCAACACTCATCCTCGCTTCTGCAATCAACTCATCCACTTCAGCCACATGCTCTTTTTCATTCTCACCTTTTTTTTCCTTAGACAACTTTTCCACCCTCTGTAGGAGCTCCTTGTTGATTCCCTCCTGCTCCATCAAAGCATGGCCTGTTTGATCAACCTTGGCCTCAAGATCCTCATGGGAGCGAGAGACGTAATCAACGATGTAAGAAGGGAAACTCTAAGTAAAAAATAAAATTAAACAAAAAGAACACAAGAATGCTTACAAAATGGGAGAAGGAGATCAACTTCTTTAGCGCTTCATCTGTTCCAACATTCTCAAGATCCCTGACATTGGACGATTTCCTCTTGCGAGATGTCATGGTCTTCACAACAAGATCGGGTTGAGCCTTCTTGAGAAGAAGAGAGGTAGGGATTTTTTCCTTCATCACCACAAGGAGATTACTAGACATGTCATCTTCAAGATCATATAAGACAAAACGAGCACTAGAAAGAGTTGTTTTGGATCCTAAATATTGAGAAGAATCCTCATAAGTTCAGGATCCTAATGTCGGAACATATAAATGCATTAAAAGAATCCTTACCAGTGGCCATTGCGGCTATGGTAGATGAACCTTCTTGAAGGCTAGGATAATCAAACTTGAACGATCTGACATCTGCAGATAAAGCTAGGAAACTCGTGATCTTATCCTCAGTATCCTCAGCAACATAAAAAGATTATCCGAACTTGAAACCTGCATCAAAATCAACAAAATAAGAAGAGTAAATCCTTGGATCCTCAAGATCAACAAATAGATCCTACCCTTTTAAACCCAAGCTTTGGGAAAGAGATCCCAGTTAGGAATTGAGTCACGTCTCACAAAAAATATTTTTCCTTCCAGGCTCCATCATTGTGTTCGTTTATAGAATAAAAGAAGGTTTGTTGGTATTTGTGACATCCCCAAAATCACGGCCAGAAAAGACCGTTTTAATTTATGCTTTTAAAATAATTTCAGAGTATATCCATTGATTTAAAAGAGCTGCGAAATTTTTTCCCAAAACAAAATATGATAAAATAAAGTTTATCAAAGCATTTCATGAAGAGATGCATTTTCATTATATAACAATATTCGGGATGTCATGTTCCAATAAACAGACCAAAAGCATAAACATTACATTACAGTCCTTACAACAGTTATGCTATCGAGCCACTGCCTGTAATACAACAAAACTGAGTGGGTTAGGCTTGGGAGCCTGGTGAGCATATAGGGTTTTCAACCTGCAATTAATAATTATATTTAATTTCACCAACCAACAATAACCCGATTACCCATTCCCGTTATCCTCACTTTACGTCCCTAAAACAACATCTATCTCAAGGGATGCAATCTAAGATTTTCATCAGGACGGGCATTATTGCAAAGGGGTTTCCTCAACAGTAGATGTCCTAAAGGCAACCATGAGGGGGATAGAGTGCACCGGTGAACACATCGTTCACAACACCTACAGGTT